AATCCCTCACCCCTTGAAAGGAAAAGGCAATACTTCTCTGGCAGTAGGTTTCTGACTGGTTTTTTTTTTTTACCTACTCACCAAACTAACATAGTTATAGTTTATATACCATAAGCTTTCCATTGATGCCAACATCTCATCACTTCGATGAGAATTGGGAGTTATAATTTTTTTCATACTCCCGAATCCTCCCTCTTTCTATGACCTTTTCGGTTTCTTTCTTCTAGATTGTAAATTGGACATCATGTCTGTAGGGTAAGTTCATAAAGTTTCATAAGTAATTTGATAACATAGTGTAATCAACTAACAATATATAATAATTTACTATAAAATGTAACTTTCTGATGTTATTTAAGTACTACAAAATGTTATACTATATTTCTGAGTCATGGAGACATCGTAATAAAATCCATTTGTGAATTAGACTTTCTGAATAGGATGATCTGATTTCATATGTGCACAGACTGTAGATCGGCATTTTATGGATAAAAGAGAAACTGGAAACGAGGCTCCTGAGGAAGTGACACGGGAGTCACTTATTGCAATTTCTTACTCTTTACCAGATAAGATTACTGCTTCAGACAAGATTACTGCCTCAAAACTCTCCTCGGGAAATATAATTGGTGAGAAAGTAGTTGAAGACACAGATTATGATGGTGAGGAGAAGTATAGGTCTGAGCTGATCTCCATATCCTATCAGAAATCATCTGAACCTCAAGGCTCACCAGTGGAAGAATTCAAGGGTTAACTGGTTAGTCAATTAATAAGCTCTGTTTAAATTTCATGGGTAAATGTAATATATTCTTATGATATTATGTTCTGAGACTGAAATCAGTGTGAGCACATTGCCCTATATGTGCTATCTTGGAACTGAAAAATGGAACGCAAAGAACTCTGTACGCATGTATTTCTTCTGCATTACTTTAAAGCTGGATGCTATACTTAACACGACTTGCGGGATAGCTCTTTTCTTGTGATTCTTGCAAATGGATGTCAGACGTGTACCTGATATTCGTCTAAATTTAATTTCCTACAGATAACTTGACAAAGATGGATTTTGTAATGTCTTTTTTTAGTAAAGTAGATGGAAAATTTGCGAAGTTTATTGGTTTTGGCTCGAAAAAAGAAAAAGACTATCATGTGTATGGGAAATATGAAAAATTTCTTGATCATCTTTTCAGGACCATACATATCTTGTTGCAAAAGAGGAACCAGAAAATTAGGAGATTTCAGTATCACAAAATTCCCATTATGAATGAAGTGTCCTTCTAGCTATTTCACTCTACTATCTCTAGGAACCATGAACCAAACATAAGTGAAAAAAAACACCAATCAACATAATACCATCAAATACTAAACCTAACTCAGGACTAGACATCCCAAGAGTTGGAGCAAATGATAAACTCTTCGGAAATATATCCGACTTGCATAGAATTCAAACCCTGCTGTCTTGCTAGTTGTACTTCAAACTATGGCTAAACAAGTTGGGACTATTCTTATGGCAGCGAATGATATTTATCCGATTAATATTACAACAAATAGGGGCCGATCACAACC